GCAGGAGCCACCGCGCCCGGCCTATACCTTTTATTTCTTTTCCTGGCTGTATTGCTCTTTTTAGGACTTGCAATATAATGTTGAGTAGAAGGACCATCCTTGGAGTGAACATCCTTTACATGTTCTTTATCTTAGGGGGAACATTCAGTATTTCATAATTAAGTGTGATGTCAGCTGTAGGTTTTTGTAGATACCCTTTATCAGTTTATGGGTATTCTTTTACTAGTTTGCTGAGACATTTATCATGATTGGGGGTAATAATTTTTTCAAATTATTTTTCTAAATCTATTAGTACTACAACTTGCATGAATTATATGGAATAACTTTGCAATATACAAAGTAACACTAGAGAGAAAAATTAAATTTACCACCACTTATGGAGATTCCAATATAATTTGCTTTCCATCATTGACAGGTCAAGCAAACAAAAATTTAGGAAAGTTGCAAAAGAATCAGGCAGCACAATTAACAAGTTTAATCTCATGGTCAAATAAAGAATTCTGCACTTAATTAATGAATTCACATTCCTCTGTTACAACCATGAAATATGTGAGTTATAAATATACTATTTTAACAATTCCTTTTGACAAATTTTAAAAATTAACGTAATATTCTCTAATACTGTTATCACATCAATTGTAAAAGAAAAGATAAATTGTACTAGAGTGGCATGAAAATTTAAAGTAGAAACTTATATTGTAATCAGCTTTTTTTCAAGCTCTAGCATCTCTGAAATCGTGAGTAATCACTCAGTTGATAGTGTCTTGGATTTAAGAAATATGGTAAATATCTTATAGTCCTAAGAAGAAAATATCTAGAATAGAATTTTAATCAATATACTACATATAAATATTTGAGTAATATGAGGAAGTGCTAACAGGGAATGTTCATGTTATTAAACATACAAAATGAAAAATTATAAAGTACTCATCCAATGTAAGAGTTTAGGGAAAAAAATAGTGAAACAAATTTAAAGCAGAAGGATAGAAATCATAAAGTAGGAACAAAATTAATAATATGTGAAACAAATTTCTAATTGATAGGATAATGGGCAAAAGTTCATCCCTTGAAATTAATAGCAAGATAAACCTTTAGTGAAATTTATTGATAGAATAAAAAGAAGTTACGGGATGCAAAGGAAACATAATTGATATATCAGAAAAATAAATTATTAACAAAATAGAGACATGTGATCATTACAGCAAACGCTTTGAAGACTTAAAGTGAATAAATAAAAATGCAAAAATTGCTTTCAATCCCAGTGCTGGTAGGCTGAGGCAGGATGACTGCTTGAGGCCAGAATTTGAGACAGTCTGGGCAATGGCAAGAGCCCCGTCTCTGCAAGTAATTTAAATTAGCCAGGCATGGTGGTGGCCACGGCATAGTCCTAGCTACTCAAGCTGAGACTGGAGGGTTAGTTCAGCCATAATTTGAGGTTACAGTGAGCTATGATTGTGCCATTGTACCCCAACCTGGGTGACACATCAAGACCTTGTCTCTAAAAGAATAATTAAGAAGTAAAAGTCGAAAATCCGTAAGAAATATCACTGAACTTAAACTCAGGAATGAAAGAACCGTTTATCATATCAATATATATATAATATACATTAACATATAATTTTCCAAATAAGTATATTAAATTATAGAATCTGCATGATTAATTCAATAGATGCAGAAAACATTTAATAAAAATTACATCTCATCTGCAAACTAACAATATAAGAGACCCCAAGTGATAAAGTGTAACTTTAGCAAATGCACCATTCTAAGGAAAAATATTAGAAAACTTATATTTTAAATCACAATTTTCAAAGAATGTAAAATTTTTCTGGTTTTTTTTTTCAGCATTGTAGTTATCAGCATAGCAAGGCAGGAAAAAAGAAAAACGTATAACGATTGGGGATAACAATTGTCTACATAGAAAAATTCAAAATTAATATATAATCACTTTAATGAAGTAAGAGAGAGAAAAAGACTTTGTCAAGGTGATTGGTTAGCGTTCACAGTAAATTGCATTTCTGTGTCTGAGCAATTAATTTAGAAAACATAGTTCTTAACTGTATAGCTAATAGCAATTTAAGTATAAGATAGAAAAGAGATATATCCAACAAATGTGGATAATTTGAGTAGCCAAAATTAAAAAGTTTTATACAAGAGCCAAACTTAGATGGAGAAAATGCCATGTACCTGACTACTAAAACAATAACATAAAATATGGCACTTCTTTCTGAATAATTTATTGATTCAGTGAAATTCAAAATCAAAGCTCAATAGGATGTTTTGGCTCAGACAATGTGATCATTCATATGAAAGAGTAAAGGGCATGATCAAGATACAAATAATAAGGTGGATGTATTTGCTTCAATATGTAACATTGTAGTAACAAACACAATGGGTATTGATTTGTGGATAGACAACCTGTACAGGGGAGCAAGAATTAGAATACAGATCATCCTATAGGGACCTTGATTTGAATTGCATTAGATTCTTACCAGATAGAATACATTTATTGATGACAGAGGTGACATCACAGATTATTTGGGAAAGGTGGAAATATTAAACAATACTGAGATATGGGTTAGCCATATGGAAAAAGTGAAATTGCATTTATATCTCATACTATACACCAACTCAGTTCAAGACAGATGAGGATGTAAATGCAAAAAGCAAAATTTTTAAATTTTCAGAAAATATGGGAACTCTCTCTTTGCTTATAAAGCAAGAATTATATATAGAGACACTAAAAAAAGACCAATGTTGGCCAGCTGCAGTGACTCACGCCTGTAATTCCAGCACTTTGAGAGGCCAAGGCAGGTGGATCACTTGAGGTCAGGAGTTTGAGACCAGCCCGACTACCATGGTGAAACCCCATTTCTACTAAAAATACAAAATTAGCCAGGCGTAGTGCTGGGTGCCTGTAATCCCAGCTACTCGGGGCTGAGGCAGAAGAATCACTTGAGCTCAGGCAGAGGTTGCCGTGAGCCAAGATAATGCCATTGCACTCCAGCCTGGGCAACGACAGCAAAACTCCATCTCAAAAAAAAAAAAAAAAAAAAAAAAAAAACCCTACTAATTTAAAAAGAAAATACTGAACTTAATAACCTGTTTCGTCAGAATGTCAGAAAGATGAGACAATTAGAGAGAACTGAATTGGAATATATTTAATTTATATGATTGAATCAAACAGATAAAATCTCAATCTAGAAAGGAATCAATACAATTTTGAAGGAGGCAGCATTTACAAACCAAATATGCCACTTCACCCATGTACCCACACATGGTACAGCTTACAAAGGCTGATAAAATAAACATCATTTGCTGTTGTCATTTTTTATCTGATTTTTTACAAATACCGAAAACTTGTAATCTTTCTGTTCTGGAGTGCACCTGACATAGTAAACTAATCATTACCCTATCCTTGCCCATTTACAGACAAGCTGGGTAGCAATTCTCCTTAAGTTCTCCTCAATAGCCCATTCTGTGATACCCCTTCTGTCCAAGTCTTTTGAATGTATGTCTGAATTCTGTAAATGCTTTTGTGCCCAGTCTGTTGCGATGTTGTCAGGTAATTCTAGTTTAATATCTATTGGGGCTATAAAAGCTTCAGATTTGATCATGTCTAAAGCTTTATAGACATAAGCAGTATGGAATGAAAATAATAGAAAGAGTTCATTCAGTAGGGCCATATGATAAAAAGATAGGTGTCTTCTTCCTCACCATTATAAGGAGAAAATGAAAACCAGTTTCTGGCAATAGAGACTTTCCCTGCTGGCAAAGCACAGGTAATAAAATAAACAAATGAAAAAATTTATCAGGTGCCTCCAAGAGTAGGTTGTAAATGCTTGAGGAGTAATTCTGAGACCTTTTAATGATCTCTGCCTTAGATACCTCATGCAATGTGAGTTCTCAGTGTTTTATAAACCATACATGAAAGCACTTATTTTCTGATAAAACCGATTTCCATGTAAAAAATAATGTGTACTGTAAGAAAATGGAGCAATATCTTTTTGAAATAGCAACACTATCTTCATTCATTAAATGTTTTCTGATACCAAGAGGGAAAAATGCTTTTAATAAAGAATTCTGTTGTGCAGGGTGTCTGTTCCTGAAACACATGGAGGTATGAAAAAATTTAAAAACAAATAACCACAGGTTTGTTTTTATATGCAATAATTTCATATTTAAGCGTGTAGTCAATCTGCTTTAGCCCTCAAAGCTCTGGTTGATTTAGTTTGATGCTATTTTTGCCATAGTAAGATTACATTTAAAAAATTTTGCTATAGATTTGTTTGTGAGAAAAGCACAAACATAGTGCTCTTGAATTGTAATCACTATGAGTGCCTTTCTAGTTTTTCATAGAAAACATGCAAAATTCACAATTTTTTATGTATTAGTATTGTGGATGACATTTTCTTATTGTCTTTTCAAAGCAATAGAGAAATAAGCTAACTACATGGATTTTTTTTAAAAGGATATTTGAATGTCTTAAGTGGTTTGCTTTCTGAATTATGCTTTCTCTGCATGAGCATGAAAAATAAGGAATTGACCATAGTCAGTGTATTGGTCATGCATATTAGAAAAGACATTAATGCATTGGGAATATAACACACTGTGTTTTGAAATTTATCTGATCTTGTGTCTTTATCCATAAGCATCTAAAATTGTATCTATTTTCCAATAGATTTTATCAGTGTTGGATAACTTACACATATTATTTAGTATTTAATGTTATTTTAAGCTTTAAACCATTTAGGAACTTTATCTTATATATTTCCAAAATAATAATTATATAAATTGTTAACTCCTCATTACCCATATCCTCACATCATGAAATGTATATGAAAATAAATGACAATAAGCTCATAATGACTTTTCTTCTGTACATATTTTTATTATTAACTGATTCATTCAGAATATTTTCATTTGTTTTTCAGGTGTTTGGGGAATTTTCTTCCTTAAATAATCAGAATTTTTAATTATTGCTGTTGTTTACTTCATAGGGTCAAAGAGAATAAGTGATAGTGAAGTCTCTGACTATGACTGTGATGATAGGTGGTGTAGTATCAGGTAAGAATTTTAGAATTATTTATAGTATTAAAACTGGAGGCGGGCGCAGTGGGCTCAAGCCTGTAATCCCAGCACTTTGGGAGGCCGAGGCGGGCGGATCACGAGGTCGGAGATCGAGACCATCCTGGCTAACACGGTGAAACCCTGTCTCTACTAAAAAATACAAAAAACTAGCCGGGCGAGGTGGCGGGCGCCTGTAGTCCCAGCTACTCGGGAGGCTGAGGCAGGAGAATGGCGTGAACCCGGGAGGCGGAGCTTGCAGTGAGCTGAGATCCGGCCACTGCGCTCCAGCCTGGGTGACAGAGCGAGACTCCGTCTCAAAAAAAAAAAAAAAACTGGAGTACAATTCATCATCATTACCATAAAAGTAAATAAGTAAAAGAGAAATAAACAACTCGCCTCCTCACCCTCCAAAACAGCCTATGGCAACCTATGACAACTGAAACCCCTGAGTAATCCCAATTGCTGGAACACCTGTACCAATTGAACTGAATAGTCTTGAAAGATGCCAGATAAGTAGATCTCAATAAATTTTCTATTTTAAGACAATAATAAAAGGATTTTACAATAGAACGGAAGAGTTCTTGCATAATTCGAACTTTTTGTACTGCACTAATATGGTGGAAAAAAGTAAATCTTTTATGTAACCACCATATCTAAATATGTCAAATATTTAAATGAAAGTTTTTGAAACTTTAAAATTGTTTTTATATTAAGTATCATGTACAGCTACATTTTGAAATTATAGTATTGTAGTTTAACATATTTGCCTCATTTTAAAGTTAGAAATTTATCCAATGATTTACTATTTTAGGTAAGTATATATCTTTTCTGCAAGTTCTGATGACAATGTTTACATGTAATATGCTTATTGTAAAAAGAAAAGTATTCTATTCCTTTTGAAGTTAAATAACCTAATAGATTTCATAATTACTTGACTAATTTTACTCTAAAGAAAATATGTAAGATATGCCACAGTTGCATTAGTGATTGATAATTTTTTTGCCAATTTTATTTAAGAGTCAGTTAGCATGCCTTTATCAGTTTACCACTTTTAAAAACTCAATGACTGTTTTTCCTTCCTTTATTACTAAGAATTGAACAATATAAGACTACAAAAATTCTTTTCATGTATTATGGTTTGCAAGAGTTAAAACTCATAAAGTAGTTTTGAGAAATATTTCTCATGATCGCTTTCTTGGAGATCATTAAATTTTTGCTCCTATTTGTATTCTATTCCTTTGTTATTTGACTATTTCATTTCTTATCTTTTGTAAATATCTAGTCCATCAGGTTTTCTTCATCCAAATTATTTCCATTCAGATCGTTCATCTTGATACCGTTTTTGGATATTTCTATCCTTTATTTTCTGTTTTCAAGATAACTATTTAATATGATCATTTTAAGTTTTCCTTCTATAACAGGAGTTGCTATTCTTTTGAAAAAATTGTTTATTTTTATTTGTTGTGTTAATAGTTTCTAGAATAATTTTTGATACTACAAGAATTGTGTTTAGAAACCCTCTATCAAAGTGCTTACTCTGGATTCATTAAGTCTCTTAATATGAAAAACATTCTTTCCTGTCTTGACATTATTATTTACTATTTTTTTCCAGTCAGAAACTGTCTGAGTGAATCTGTTGTGAGCCTGAAAAGACTGCCATGAAATATCCTATATTTTGCTATTTTGAAATCCAATGTGATTTTGAGAAATAGATTTTACATGATATACTACACTTTATTTTTTATTGATTGATTGATTGATTTTTCAGACAGGGTCTCACTCTGTTGCCCAGGCTGGAGTGCAGTAGGGCAATCACAGCTCACTGCATCCTCAATTTCCCCAGGCTCACTTGACCCTCTCACCTCAGCCTCACCAGTAGCTGGGACTACAGGTGCACACTACCTAGTGTGTGTACTAACTAGGTTACTAACTAGGGTACCTTACCTATTATTATTACTAACTAGGACTAACTAGTTCCTTATTTTTTTCTAAGCCCAGCTAAATTTTGGATATACTACACTTTAACAATACCTTTAGTACTCAAAAATTAGTATGATGGTATTGTAGTTTCTGAAATTATGGTATGATTTTTTTCATAACCCATCACTTTAGTAAATGCTGTAGAAATTACATTTACGTAAGACTTATAAATAACCAAGACTTAAACATATATTCGTTCTGTTAAATATTTTTCTTACATTTCTTCTTTATGGCCTTTTCATTTTACAGCTCAATATTGAAACTGGTTTAATAGAGAATAAATGCTTTAATCAATAGCTTATCAAATAATGTAAGGGCCACAGATAAAATAAATATATTTTCTGGTTAAAGCAACTCAGATGTGAAATGCAGTATATACATGTACAAAATGCACACGCCACCTCTCTTAATAATATTTAAACACCAGTATGAGTCAATAAACCAGCAAAATCTTTTGGGAGTTGGAGACTGGAGCTGTTCCTATTCGGCCATCTTGCTCCGCCTCCGGCCTCCAGCAATATCTATTGATAGTTTGTTGCTTATATGCAGAGATTTCTTTCCAGTTTCACATTGAATAAGGTCAGAGTATCAATTACAATCATTCATAATAAACCTGAGCTATCAAAACTGTTCTTTTTTTTTTTTTTTTTTTTTGGGACGGGGTCTTGTTCTGTTTCCCAGGCTGGAGTGCAGTGGCGCGATCTTGGCTCACTGCAAGCTCCGCCTCCCGGATTCCCGCCATTCTCCTGCCTCAGCCTCCCGAGTATCTGGGACTACAGGCGCCCGCCACAGCGCCTGGCTAATTTTTTGTATTTTTAGTAGAGACGGGGTTTCACTGTGGTCTCGATCTCCTGACCTTGTGATCCGCCCGCCTCGGCCTCCCAAAGTGCTGGGAACTGTTTCGACTAACTTACTCGGTTTTTCTAAGCTTGCAAGGCAGATGTCTCAAATACTAACTATGCCAGAAGTAATATTTTCCATGTGTTTTTTTAAATTTTAGGGCAGCATTAGGTTTATAGCAAAATTGAGAGGAAAGTATACAGATTTCCCATATGTCTTCCTACCCGAATACATTCATACCCTCTCCCTTTATCAACCTCCTCCACCAAACTGGTATGTTTGTTACAACTGATGAACCTACTTTGACACATCATAATCACCCATGATCCATAGTTTACACTGGGGCTCACTCTTGGTGTCAAACATTCATTGAGTTTGGACAAATGGATAATGACATGTATCCATCATTATGTTATCATGCAGAATATTTTCACTGCCTTAAAAATTCATCTTTCCCTTTCTCCTAACCCCTGGCAATTATTGATCTTCTTACTGTCTCCATAGTTTTGCCTTTTCCAGAATATCACATAGTTGGAATCATACAGTTTGTAGCCTTTTAGACAGGCATCTTTCACTTAGTAATATGCTTTGTCTTTTCATGGTTTGATAGCTCATTTATTTTTAGTGCTGAATAATATTCCATTGTCTGGATATACCACAGTTTGTTCATTGATTCGTCTACTGAAGGGCATCTTGGTTGCTTCCAATTTTTGGCAATTATAAATAAAGCTGCTATAAACATCTGTGTGCAGGTTTTTGTGTGGACATAACTTTTCAACTCCTTTTCACAAATGCCAACCAGCACAATTGCTGGATCGTATGGTAAGAGTATAGTTTTGTAAGAAACTTCCAAAACATCTGTACCATTTTGCTTTCCCACCAGCAATGAGTAAGAGTTCCTGTTGTTCCACATCTTGCCAGCATTTGGTGTTGTCAGTGTTCTGACCATTCCAGTGGGTGTATAGTGGTATCTCATTGTTTTTGTTTGCATTTCCCTGATGACATATGAGGTTAAACGTCTTTTCATATGCTTATTTGCCATCTATTTAATTTCTTCGGTGAGGTGTCTGTTCAGGTCTTTGGCTCATTTTTTTTTAATTGGGTTGTTTGTTTTCTTGTTGTTGAGTTTTAAGAGTTCTCTGTATATTTTGGACAACAGTCCTTTATAAAATGTGTCTTTTACAAATATTTTCTCTCTTCTGTAAAGCAGGAATTCTCTTGACATTGTCTTTTGCAGAGTAGTTTTAATTTCAGTGAAATTCAGGTTATTAATCATTTCTTTCATCAATCATGCCTACACTATTATATCTAAAAATTTATCACAATACCCAAGGTTATTTATGTTTTCTCCTATGTTACCTTCTAGGAGTTTTATTATTTTGCATTTTATATTTACATATATGTTGCATTTTGAGTTAAATTTTTGAAGAGTGTAATGTTTGTGTCTAGGTTCCCTTTCTTGCATGTTGACATCCAATTGTTCCAGCACCATTTGTTGAAAAGACCATCATTGCTCCATTGTATTGCCTTTGCTTTTATGTTGCCAGAGATCAGTTCAATATATTTATATCAGCTTATTTCTAGGCTGTCTGTATGTTCCATTGATTTATTTGTCTATTCATTGACCAATCAGTACCACAGTGACTTGATTACTGTAATTTCATTGTAAGTATTGAAAAATCAGTGTCATTTCTCCAACTTTGTTCTTCTCTTTCAATACTGTGTTGAATCTTCTGTCTTTTGCTTCTCCATATGAATTCTGGAATCTGGTTATTAGACTCCACAAACTGATATGCTGAGATTTTGACTGAGATTGCTTTGAATCTGTAGGTCAAGTTGGGAAGATTGGACATCTTGACTATATTGAGTATTTCTTTATATGGAATATCTATTTATTTAGTTCTTTTTTATTTCATTCATCAGAGTTTTGTTATTTTTCTCATGTAGATCTCATATATATTTTGTCAGATTATACCTAAGTATTTCATTGTTGTGGACTGCTAATGTAAATGGTGTTTCATTTTTAATTTCACTTGTTCATTGCTCATATACAGGAAAGTTATTGACTTTGGAATATTAACCTTATTTCCTACAACATTTCATAATCACTTATTAGTTCCTGGAGCTTTTTGTCTATTTGTTTCAATTCTTTTGTGTTTTTACATCGACAATCATGG